GAGCTGCGCTGCGTCGAAAGCCTCCAGCCTCTCCGCACTCGCAGTAGCGAGCATCGCCCTGGTCGTGTCTCCGACCGCGATCTCCTTGAGCTTGTTCTCCTTGAACACGTTCATCATGGCCCACTTGTACGTCTGCCAATCCTTGCCGCTCCAGTTCTTCGGCACCCCTTCGTTCGTGTACTTCAGGGGCTTCGACATCCCCGAGTAGCTGCCGCTGGCAGCGTGCTTTGCGCTCATAACCCTAATGGAACCTGCACCGGATCCGAGCACCTTGTGCCTACGAAGGATAAAATGAAGACTTAATTGATGGAGCGTTAGCTGCTCACTGCCTGAGCTCCTACCAACACTCACGGGTTCCTACCCGTTCCCATACAACGACCTGCTTTTCTCTGCTTCTCAGCTTTCGTCTCAACTGCCATGACCAGGTCTCAAATATGCATTCCAACAGTAGCGAGTCGTGCAAAAGGGTCAACTGCCATTTGTGCTCGTGTAGGTTAACGCAAGGACTACCTCCCGAGCTAACTGAACCCGACACGAAACAGAAGACGCACGGAGCACCTGGGAAGATTTAGTTGTAGTGAAGTCTAACTTTCAGAAGTCCTGACTGATTAGCAAACACCTGACCGAATTGCAAATTCCAACCCGAACTCCTGACCAAATTGCAATTTCCCCTTTCTTTAATTTAATTTAATTTTATTTTATTTTATTTTTTCTTCTGATATATCACAACAAAACGTTTTATACCATCAGGTGCGTTCGCTTTAATTTGGTTATTGGTTCATTAATTGAATTCGGATAAATCTGTCCTACGTGTACCTCATAGCCATCTGAACTCTTGTTATGACATACAGACCCCCTACAACTACCAATTACTTTCATTTACATGGTGGTCACCTGTCCGGTGACCTCGCCTACATTGCCTCGCCTACATTGTGGGCAAGGACGCGAAGAGAACTCTGTGGACTTCTTACTATCTATGCTTCTAGGTCGCTAGGATCTAGTACTTGAGCTGCATCAAGAAACGTGGATTTAGTAGCTGGCGTCGCTGCTGCGTGCGTTCCCTCGGTTGATGTAACAAAAGACTTTTGCGTGGGTATACGTAGGAATAGGCGCTACTGGGCTAGTTCTGTTTGATGTATGAAGAGCCCCGACTTGAACAAGTCTTCTCGCAGCCATTTTCCTAAATCCAAGTTCATATCGTTAAGACTTTCGATTGACTTTGGCGTGATGAAGGTCTTTTTCCTGAGAGTCTCATCTCAATTTAGGGATTTGTGCCGTTCCATTCGCATCGGAAATCGCTCTGGTATAGGTTGGGCATGGAGTTTTCACTTGGCTGTTTTATGTTACGGAAATTCGTTTAAACGAAAAAATCACGCCAAAATCTGCAGTTTTGCTAAGCATTTATTTTGTGAAGTACGGTAAACAATCAAGGGAAAATTCCGGAATGTGATGCAAAAGTAAATTTGTGCAAAAGGTGATACAAGATTTGTAACGAGAGCACACTTCTCAGGTTCAGTAGCATTTCTTAGAGAATTTTTTTCTTTGGGCCGCGATATTATTACCTCCAGCGGCGACGTGGAGTAAGGCCTTACTGTAAGGCATCCATGCCGTCGGCGAATGCTTCATGCAACGCCAGGCAGTGTCACTCAAGCGACGCAGAAGGCCCCCTACTCAGACAGTACATCTATCACCAGAGGGCGATGCCTACACCGGCACCGCCTTCGCCACGTGTACCTAGTGCTACACCGACACATTTGATGCATCAGCAACGTGCATGGCATTCATGCGCTGTCTGCTCTCGATGGCCAAATGCACTTGGCACAAATCCTTGTATCGCCTTTTGCACAAATTTTCATTTTGTATCACATTCCGGAATTTTCCCAACAATCAAATATCCCAACGCCAGAAAAGGCCAATCGTGTTTTTTTTTCTCATACGAATCACTGATGTTGGCATTTTATCCAAAGAAATACTTCGACCAATCAAACATCGAGTTTTTTTATGAAAAATAACTATCAATCCTTTTTTCCGGATCGGGGAAGCAGGACCCACATCCTCTGTTTAGCGACCGACCCTAGCCCATTTCATTATCGAGGAAAGGAAGAGTCCCGAAAACTCCAAGGTCCTTCAAAGCAAAAACAAGTAACGCCAGGGACGCCGAAAACGCTGCAAGCATGCTCGCCATAAAGGGGCTTCGTCCAATACACTGCAGACAAACATGTCCTATTTAATAACCATCAAGATACTGTGATGCTAAAAACTTTATCGTTACGATTGGGTATCGCAATTCAATCGGATTTGCACGATCTCAAGTCGACACGTTCCTCAAATCGATCGAATCGTCTGAATCCGACTCGATCAAATACAAATCGAACAGGCTTAAGACCTGCGAGATTTGGTTTTCCGATACATTGGCATTAAACTAGTTATAACAGGTATATCATTAAAACGCGAGTCGATACCCAGTCGATTTGAATCGAATCGATTCGATCGAGTCGGGTCGAAGTGCTTATCCGGATCCGGATACATAATCTGGCCTTGAGCCTGAACACTCTACAGAGAACTCCGGTAATAGTGGAGGTGTTTGGCCATCAACTTCACAAGCTCTCTTATAGAGTTTTGCTGTTATAAGAGGGAACCTATCATTGAACATTCAAACTACTATAAAGCATGGAAGTACGAGGTGATCGACGTCTGGCGCTTAGAGATAATCGCCATTCTCCTCGTCGCATTGACAACGTTCTGTACACTGGTGTCCTGTAATCCGTGAGCAAACATGTAGACCTGAAGCTTTTGAGCTGCTTCTAGTGCCTCGCTGTGCGAAAACGGTCGTTCCTCCTCACCACCACAATCACTCTCACTGTCACTTGAAACTTGCTCGCTTGCGTCGTCGCTGTGTCGGCTATCGTCAACAGCATCTTCAACGTCAACGTAGCGTACCGCACTCAATGGATCCAATAGATCGAATCTAGATATCAGCGCTTCTAGATCTTCCAGCTCCGTTTCTCTTGTCATCGGCTCACTGTCGCGCTCAATCCTAGCGCTCATGCTTCCTGACACAATCCTAGTATGCCGCCAGCAGTGTCGAATTGTCGCATCCGAAACCGCGTTCCATGCGTCCACGACAAATTTTATTGCCGTCAACAAATCGAACCGCTTCTGTGGACCGGTCTGCTCAAGCACCCACTGCACAAATAACTTCTTGTACTTCAGCTTGAAGTTTCGAATAATGCCGGCGTCCATTGGTTGCAGGTGCGACGTAGTATTTTTTGGTAGGAAATGGATGCACACATTGTTCAGTTCAATGTCAACATGACCGGCAGCGTTGTCGAGCACCAAAAGTATTCTGCGTCCATGCATATTGAGATTTAGCGCCCGCACCCACTTCAAAAACACTTCAGATGTCATCCATGCTTTTTGGTTCGAAAAATAGTCCATAGGGATCGCACCAACGTTGACACCTTTGAAGCAGCGAGGTTTCGCAGCTCGATTGATCACGATGGGCTCCAATCTTTCAGTACCTGCCAAGTTGCAGCATAGTCCGATACTAATTCGAGTCTTGTCCTTCTTTTTGCCTGCAACGGACTTGGTCGCTAGCGTTTGACTTGGTAGCATACGGTAAAACAGAGCTGTCTCGTCGATATTGAAAATATCTTGGGGGTTGTATTCGTCGAGTAGCTCCATTAACTCTGCGCGTTGCTGGCCGAGGTCCGCCGTGTCAACCGATCCAGCCTCCCCATGCATCTTGTGTAGCGTCACACGATGACGAAACTTGAACCGTTGAATCCACGAAAGGGAAATTGTCCCCTCTCCGACGAGTTCATTTGCCTTTGTTCGTAGCACCTCGTCCGAGAGGAGACCCTTGGATTCTTGAGCATGCACGAACTCCATCAGCTTGTCTTCAATAGACGCATGGTGCGACTTGCGTTTCTTTTTAAGGTTCCCATTGGGAGTGCAGTCAAGTGGCTGGCTGACAATTTTACCCACTGTCGACAGGCCAATCCTTTTGTTGAGGCGTACGGCGACCCACTGCTGGAGATCGACGTGCTTGAGACTGGGGTGCGCCTGATGATACCGGCGGAGCTCGTTCTTTTCGTAGATAGTGAGGTGCTGACGTGACGAGACCATTATTGCGCTCTTGATCGTGTTTAAAAGTGAGCCACGTGTCCCCCACTCTTCTTACAATGTGTGGTTTTGGTTTGGTGGGGAAGCTCTCTTACACTCTTACAGTCTAATAGCCGGTTTGACTTGCTTTTACTATAGTCAGAATTTGGGATATCGCAGAAACGCTCTAATAGTCGATTTTCTCTTATACCCGGCGCCACTATAGCTGGAGCCCCTCCCCTGAGTTGCTTCGTTGCGAGGATGGCAGACGCGCAAGGCGACACTCTCGTTGACGACGAAGATATCCATGATGCTGATGATGAAGGCCACAACAACGCTGTAGAAAGATCCACTACCTCCAGTGAGCTGAGGTCACGCAAGCGTTCCGACATCTGGCCATTTATCAAAGAGTTTGGTAATGGCAGATACTCCTGCAAGTGCTGCGAGCGTGAGGGCAAAACACAGGTCTGGAACTCGACGGCTCACACAACAATGCGTAACCATCTCAAGCAATACCACGGAGACGAGTACGGCGGTGGTACGGATGCAAGCACATCAAGGCAGACGGATCTATTCTACCATGGCTTCGAACGTATGGTGAAACAAGTGACTTCAGCAAAGCCGACGCCGATCAAGCTCTGGTTGACTGGGTCGTGTCGAACGCTCAGCCATTTTTGGCCGTCGAGCAGCCCAAGTTCATCGCTTTCTGCGCAACATTACAGCCGTCCTACAAGGTACCTTGCCGCCAGACAGTCCGAAGCCACGCAATCCAGCGCTGGAAGGTGGAGAAAAACCTGGCTCGGAAGATCATCCTGCGCTGCCTCATTTTAGAGGATGTTGGTGCGAGTTGTACGAGTATTACCACAGATTTGTGGACGTCCCCAGCGAAAAAAGGGCGGGAACAGCAGCACGCTCATGGCCGTGATGGCGTTCACCGCCCCACTGGCGCCCAGGTTGAACGTCAGGCGGCCGGACTTTTGCTGCTCCAGCACGGCCGCCGCGGACGACAGCACGCCCCCGACCAGGTACAGATAGAGGAACCGGCGGGGGCCCAGCACCTCGGCGATCTGCCGCCCGAAGAAGTAGAGCCCCAGCATGTTGGCGCCCAAGTGGCCCAGCGACATCTGGCTGAACATGGCTGTGAGCAGCGTGTAGTACGGAGATGGGCCGTGGACGTGGTGAAGTGCGTGAGCATGAGCTTCATCTGCGCCCGACGGTCGGTGGACGACTGCGCCCTCATCCAGCCCACGGTAACTAAGACGTTGGCGGAGATGAGGCCCAAGACCACGTGGTCGCCGGAGTCGGAGCTTCCGGAGCTGCTGGAATTGTGGCGCACTTGGTTCGTCTTGTGCTGCGGCTTGAAGCGGGTGAGGAGAGGGGGGGCGAGGAGTCAGCTTCGCTGCAGCGAAGCTGCGCGCCGGCGCGCGCAAGGTCAAGGCCGCACGCAGCATCAGAGTAAGCTTAAGTTCCGGGGGTCGACACTCGACCCTGTCCTGGATGTGCTTATAGAGAGATCCTGAATGGGTCTCTCTATAAGAACACTTATATGCACCATGAATTGGGTACAGTTGTTCTAGTCGTGGTCGCAACATGGTTTTGTACATGTATTGCACCGACAAGAAGCAACCAAACCAACGGACTTGGCTGCGATTTCTTCTGCGATCTCATGGCTACAGTACAGGCAGCGAGATTCGGCAAATTCAACCTCGGGTCCAACACTGGCTGGACCACGTAGCACAGTACAGAAGGTGAAACGAAGACCGAACACACGTTAGAAGAGGAGGCTCTATTGATCTCGCGCTTTGGCCGGCAGCAGTAAACGACGCCATGCTTTCATTTCCGATTCCACCAGCTTCGTACAACAACGCACTCAGCGGCTCGCTTCCCTCATGAAATTTCGCCATGCCATCGTGTTGGCAATAGCGTTTACCCAAGCATCCGCAGTAGCCAGCACGGCGCCAACCGAATCGTTGTGTAACAGGTATGGTACTCTGTACCGGGTGATGAGATCAGCGAGAAACAGCGAGCGAGCAGGACGACGAGATCTGCAGCACGGAGGGGACGACAATCGAGGGAGCGGGCGGTAGCGATGTACGAGGGCCGCTCTTGGGCACCAGTAGTCGCCTGGACGCGAACGAGAAGACGCGATCCAAGACGGAGAGCGGTGAGTGGGTGGATGCACGTGCTAGAGAGCGCAGTCAGCTTGAGACCGCTCAGTGAAGAACCTACCTCGCGGGCCACAGACGACGAGAAGACGAGTACTGGCGAGCACGAGCAGCCGGTGACGATGAGAGACGAGTGAGGAGTGACGACCTTCGCAGACGACTGAGCAAGGGGCGACCTTCGCGGGTTGTCGCCGACAACGAACGACTGACGAGTGGGTGAGGCGGGCGAGATGTTGTCAACAGCCCAGCTGACGAATCGACGAGTGAAGTGCGGCTAGTGACGACGCTATGGCGGAGACACCAACAGACCAGAACGTGCATGAGTGCGGGGTGAGGCGGGCGAAGACCTGCGTGTCAGCGCCAGCCAACAGACTGATAACGCGTTGCAGTATCGAGATCCTTACCTAGGGTTGGCAATTCACGTTTAATTACCAGTTATTAACGGTTACATTCAGTTAAAAAGAATGTTCACACGTAATTCACAGCTGATGTTCACTGTGAATATCGAAGTTGGGCAATACAGAGGGGAGGTATTGAAGTTTGGCGGTCTTCCCCGCTCCCCCTTCGGAATCTAGAGGCTTCACACTTAGATCCCCCCAGAGCCTGCTCCGGCCCTTGCTTGGCCGAACTGGTGCCTTTGCCGACGCGCGTAGGACCTACGACGCGCGACCTGCACTCGTCGTTGGCAGCGAGCTCCTCGACGCAACTGGCAGTGCCCCTCAACGACTGCAACTACCTTGTGAACTTGCTGCTGCTGGTGTGCATGGCGCGACCTTCTCGGCGCCTGAACGACTGACCGTCTGTCCTCGACTCTGACGTGTCCAACCTCCAGACTCCGTTACCGTAGACCCTCGTGCGTACTGCTCCAAAGCCGTGGTGTGTCCCGCAAACACCTGTGAACATCAGCAAGGAGGGCGCAATGGCTCCGCCGAAACACAAAATTTGGGCTTTGTTTCGTGCGCACGCACCCAGAATTAAGGGTGTAAAACCCCATCCTGATGCCATGTGCTTGGGTTGCGAAATGGTGGTGCCGAACGCGCAGCCGTCGCGAAACTGGTGCAGCATACGATCAAGTGCGACAAGATCGGCGAGGAGACGAAGGAACGGTGGCGGCGCCACGAAGCGGACCTCCGACACAAGCAAGCGGCGAAGCTGACAACCCCTTCGAAGCCTCGGGGCCCAAGAACGCCAACATTGACGAAGCGACTTTTTGGTACGAATTCACCACGGAGTAGCGGCTCATCTCGCCCGCGCAAGACCCCGCGGCCATCACCATCGTCACAACCCACACCAAAGAAGTCGGCCCAAGAAATCAAAGAAGAGAATTATTTGCGGGTTGCAATTGGGCTTATTTCGACTGGGATCCCTTTTTCGTGTTGTGGAGGAGCCTCTTTTCCAAGCTATGTTTGACTATGAATTGCCTTCTCGACGTCAAATTTCGGGGCGTTTGCTGGACGTCCTTTACGACCGCGAGAAGACTCAGTTGATTTTGAGAATAACGGAGAGTGGCGTGACGAACTTGGCCTCATTACGGATGGGTGGTCCAACACAAATGGGGATAGCATTATCAACTTTGTTTTTGTGAACCCTCGGACCCCACCTTTATTTTGGAAGTTGAACAACTCAAAAGCTGAAGCTCATACGGCAGAGTATATCGCTGGTACAATTTGGTCAACCATTTTGGAGTTCGAGTCTGTAATTGGTTCAGGCAAAGTCACTTCAGTAGTGACGGACAACGCTGCCAACATGAAGAAGGCGTGGCGACTCGTAAGAAAACAGCGCGTCGGACTTGTATGTACGGGCTGTACTGCGCACGGCATGAATCTTCTGATGAAAGATATTTTCAATCTGGATATTTTCAAGGATGTGCTTGACCGTGCAAAACAACTGGTTCGGTTTTTCAAGGATCATCGGGGCTTGTGGTCAAGATTTCGCGATCTGCAAAAAGCGCTTCGAAAGAAAGGGGAAAAACGGCGGCGCCTCTCGCTACCAGTGCCAACGCGGTGGTATACACATGAAAAATGCGTCGCGAACGTCTTTCACAACAAAGACATCATTGCAGCTATTTTCTCGGACACGGCGCTGCTTAAGAACTACAAGGGAGCATCACTAGACGAGGCACTCGTTATTTTTCGCGATGACGATTTCTGGCAAAAAAACTGCCGTTGTGGTGAGCGAGGCACTTGTTGACTGGCTGGATGAGCTCATCCAGCCAGTCAACAAGTGCCTCGCTGCGTTTGAGCGCGACGCCTGCAGCTTGTCGTTGGTGTATCACCAGTTTAGTTGGCTATGCAAACATCCAGTCTACACCGAGCCCCTTGATGATTGTAGCGTGTTGCTACAAGCGGAGGTGCTCGGGCTGATAAATGCCCGACGAGGAAAAATATGCACGCTGACGGTGAAAATTGCATACCTGCTTGACCAGACCAAGACATGTACGATCCGAACGATCTGGAGGTCAAGGCACTGATTAACGATGCCGCGCAACTTGCCCAGGACTTGCAATTGGTACCGACAGAGTTGGCGGAGAAATTTCACAAGCAGCTGCAAGACTTTGTCCTCATGAAGTCTGCGTGGACAGGTAAATCGCGTGAAGATAACAACGCCTACAGCCCGATCGCATGGTGGTCGCTAGAAACCTCGAACACCTACGCGTTGGTGCAGGAGTTCGCAAAGTTGCTGTTGTATATCCCAACGTCGTCGGCGTCGAGCGAGCGTAGTTGGAGTATCCACGGATTTATCCACACGAAGCTGCGAAATCGCCTCACGCCTGAGCGTGTGAACAAGCTTGTGTTCGTTTATACGAATATTGCGCGAAAATCCGAAGTGAACCATATCCTATACCAGCTCTATCCAGATGCATACGACGACAGCAACATCAGCGATGAGAGCGAAGACGAAGAAGATGAAAATGTCGCTAGCAACCACCACCGGGCGGCGGTAACTGCTATTACCTCTGAGTGCGAAGAAAAGGAAGCGGGTGAAGTCGTGCAAGAAGCTGCAGCGCCAGCTCAGAATATGTTTCGAACCCCTCCAGCTTCTCAAGTACGCAGAGCGGTAACATGGGAAACAAGATAATATATTTTCGATATTGCTCTTTAATAACAGATTTTATACTATTGTTGTTCATGCTATCCTTCGTCCTCTTCGCAATCGAGAGCCGGCATCAAGCCCTCGGTGTGACCATCAACGGCGTGGCCAAGCACACCACCATCGCCGGCTTCGCCTAGTACTTGGGCTCGGCCGAGATCTCCACCTCCATCGCAAGCTTGAGCACGGAAGCGGACATCGACGATGAGTTGCTGCACCGGTTCGGCACCGCGATCGACGTCTACGCGTACTCGGACGAGCACGCCACGATCGGCTCGGTCATCCTCGTGAACGGCCTGCTCCAGCCGAGCTTCGTCTCGGGCTTCCTGTCGTACATGTTCGGCCCGTTCTTCGTCTATAGAGACTCGTCGTTGCTGGAGGACGTGAAGATGGCCAAAAGCGACGGCACGACCCACACCATATACGACTCGGACGGCAACCTGGTCTTTAGCTACTTCAACGCGTACGATATGTTCGTGGACCTCGCGTCGGGCACGGGCCGGACCATGAGCGCGCGCAAGCGGTTGCAGATCTCGTACGCGCTGTCCGCCTCAACCACTGCGAACTACGCCTCCATGAGCGATCTCATGCGGCCGCCACTGCCAACGGATGTGGTGCTGCCGACCTACTGGGTGCAGGAGGCGGTCGAGGCCAAGCTCCGTTGCGCCGGACTCGTTCTCGAGCGCTCTCACGCTCCCCAAGACGTTCCTGCCGGGCCTCATCGTGTTCATCATCGTCGGCGTGCTCGAAAGGGGCGGCGGCGTCTTCCTCTAAGACCACCACAAACTCAAGGTGGAGGCTAGCGCTACATTAGCGTCATCTAGAGGACACGAAGTCACATACTCAGTACCTAATTATATAGCCCCCGTAATGTTAAAATGCGGACAGTACATTGCACCTTC